TTGACTTCATACATCTCTGAACTCTCATGGTTACCGTTCAAAGCCATTACCAACATCTTGATTCAATGATTCTCGCTGCGTTGTTCGACCTTGTTCTATATGATATCGACTTCAAAGAGAGCCACATTGTGAATATCCTATTCAGATACGCCCGTTTTAGTAAGGCATCATCTTTCATACAGCCCAGGCTGCTAGGACACCTGTCAATAGTGTGGAACTATTGATATTTCTGTTACGGGATGCTCTTCACCTGCATCCATCTAACTACAGTACTTTGCTCCACGCAGCGATGAGACCCATGTCGCTGTCCAGATAAGGAGGGATTCGAATACCGAGCTTTGATGACTCCAGCCAATGAAGCTCTTTAGAATCTAACTTACACTAGCACATTGTTAGCCGGTTGTCCGTGGCTCACGTGCCAATACGGTATTATACACAGAGTAAATGCGAGACGCTGGGTTCAACGAACTTAACTAGGTTTCGTTACAGTAACTTACGGAAATTGCGTTCCATTAGTACCAATAGTGCAGAATGATACTCTTAATTTGAGCCTCGACTATCCTGATAATATCTTGCCACCATTGACAGACTGGACTACAAGCCTCCACTCTTCTGACAGTTCATACGGGTTTTGTACGCAAGGTCGCTTCTCTTTATCTCTGTGCACATTGTTACTGGGAGCGATACAGCCATGCTGCCTCTCACCGGTCGCGCCATTCCAGGCGCCATCCCAAGCGCTCTTCATGGTATGTGTTCTCCAATTGTTACTACTAAGTTGCTGAACTCATGTAGTGCGACCGCGTATCACATCTTGCCATTTCCGAATTCAGCCAGTTTCGTTCCTTTCGACCTCTTCAATCAAGTCGGCAACAGCAATCGAACAGCGGGGACAGTCTGGCCAAGCGCTCACTGCTTCTGGAAAGGTGCGGAAAGAGGTGCCCTTACCGAGCCAGGAGAAAAAGGAGGGTGCTATGCAATATGTCCTGTTTGTTGCCTGAGACGCATGAGATGGGTACATTATACTGATTCATGTGTAGTACCACGCTTGACCAAGTCGCTAACTGGGCCCGCCAAAGTTCTTTGTGGCCCATGACCTTCGGTCTCGCCTGCTGTGCAGTTGAGATGATGCATCTTTCGACCCCCAGATATGACCAAGACCGTCTTGGAATCATTTTCAGAGCATCGCCTCGGCAATCGGATGTCATGATCGTGGCAGGCACATTGACAAATAAGATGGCTCCCGCTCTCAGACAGGTGTACGACCAAATGCCTGACCCTCGTTGGGTCGTCAGTATGGGAAGTTGTGCCAATGGCGGTGGTTATTACCATTACAGTTATTCTGTTGTTCGCGGATGCGATAGAATCGTACCCGTGGATGTCTATGTTCCCGGATGTTTGTATACCCTCTACCATTCCTACAATGACGTCGGCTAATGGGAACAACTCAAGGTCCGCCGACCTCCGAAGCATTGATGTACGGAATCTTTCAACTTCAAAAGAAGATGCGGCACACAAGGATCACTCGCATGTGGTACCGCCGTTAAGCTCAACTTGGAATTACTTCCTCCCTATGTTACTTAAGGGTTGGAACGGACAGGTTCGGACGTAGACTTTATAAGAAGTCCTATCCTGGAAATCAAGTATGTGCTCTCGTGCATTACCGAACACTACCAGCGCGCAATTGATAGGGGGAGGGATAAAAGGGAAGTGGAGGCTTAACTCTAAACAGGCATACCAGGTGTGTCATGTTCATGGTTGAGCAAGGAAACCCGGCCAACATGTATTGTATGCAATAACTGCAAGCCACTTTCCTAGGTATATTAGAACGGGGTTAGGGACTTGGCTGCAAATTCACACTGATATTCTGCGCTCTTGTACGGCTCACACTCAAACGTCTCATATCTAGACTATGTCGTGTCGTAATGTTAGAATATTTCAACAGATCAAGACATTACCACTGTTTGCATGCATAGTATGCAAATAATTGCTAGACTGCTTCTTCGCCTGTCCAAATATACCTAGAGGCTGCAAGGTGAAGGACTATACTACGACAAGTCTCTCATCATCAATATTAGGGTCGCAGATTTCTGGCATGCTGATACATGAAAGGAGTTCGATTCACCAGTGACAGTGGAAATGGCGCTTCTAGTCGTGTTAATCTTCCGCGGGGCTCATATAAAGTGAAGTATGCCCACCAGCCTTATATCGCAAGTCATCAATAGCGGTAGTATCTCTCCGATTAGAGGGACTGAAATATTACAGGCATTTCTGCAGACTTACATACGCTCGGCAAGGCTTTTCTTGTTCGGATTATGTTTTGCAAACAATACCTTCGCGCATGTTTCAGGCCATGAATCATGCCTGTTAGAGGTCGGTAAAGCATTCTCTTTAGTGCATCAAACCAACAATGAATAGAAGTCATCGACTTTATCAGTATGAGATAGAATACCCATCTTTTATATAGATATACGCGGCTCGTATGCCCACGTTTGTCTGCTATATGAGGAGATCTGCCATGCAACGCACCATCCATCACAAAAAGCATTTTGTAGTGAGACGGCCGAAGGAAATGGCCATGGCCCGAGCTTGCCTTCTTTGCAGTGGCCCCACTTTTATGACCCAAAGTAATTGATTATCTTAGTTCCCCTTTCACTTTCATTAACTTTTTTTTTTTTTTCTCCCGACTTTCGGCTTCCGCAAGCCATTATTCGAAGTGTCCACCACTGGCTGAAAATATCAGGCTGATCTCTCTGCACCTACCATTCAAAGCTTTCGCGTTTTTTTTCTTACCTCACTTTCCATTTCTTTTTCTTTGATACAACTGTCTCATCTCAGGCGTGTACCACGCCATGAAGAACCTCGTTCCCGTTCAATCTGGAGCTCTTCCTGAAGTCGAAACTTATGAACCATTCCCTTCATTCAGATCAGGATTGACAACTCCTTGGATTTTCCTCCAACCCACGACGGAGTTAAAAACCACTATCACCGGCTCTGTGAAGTACTATCTAGATTCGTTAGCCTCGTCGGTCGGCGATTCCCAATGTGCGCGCCAACGCAGGAACAGAAAGCGCAAAAGATCCGAAGCTGAGGAAGATTCTACAAACCAGGTCCTACAGCTCAAGCAACTCTATGTCGACGGCTTCACTTCTGACCAGATATGGCAACAAGCCTTGAGAATTCTTGATTCTTCCAGTGGTGAAGTCGAGCGGGATTTTACTTGGTGGTCTGCAGTGTCCAAGCCACACGAGCAGTCCCTGACCTCACCTTATAATGTGGCACTTGACGACACCGCATTCGAGGGCAGCAACGTGGTCTCTCAGTCAGAGGCCGATCTCACCCAATCGAGTATCGATGATGACGATGACGACCTTAGTTCAGTACACGCTCACTCTCAAACCTCCCATAATGATTCGGACGTCGAAGAAGACATTGAGCAATTATCCGACAACAATTCCGGAGGCGATATCGACGACGGTGAACAAGAAACGTATGTGGAGGATCCTTTTGGCCTGAATGATGGGTTCTTTTCGATAGATGATTTCAACAAGCAATCGGAACTACTCGAAAGACAGGATGTTAGTGGCGGCCCCGACAACGATTCTGAGAGCGAGGATGATGAAATTGATTGGCACGCAAATCCTTTGACTGCAGCAGGGTCAATGTCTCTACCGAAGAGAAACAGGCCACAGGAGCACTCTGACGGGAATGATGGCGAGGACATTTCCGACAGCGAAGAGGAAGGACCAACATTTGGTGATGCAGGCTTTGAGGAGGACTCCGATATGGACGCAGATGATGTCTATGCGGCAAATTCTGGAGGCGAAGGTTGGATGAACACCAGCGACATAAAGTATTCTGACTTCTTCGCTCCACCTCCACGTAAAGTCACACGCAAAAAGACACGCTCCCTTCCTAAAACTCAGCCCGACCTTGCCATTACCAACGACGACGTTGATCGTGCCATGGCTGATGTTCGACGTGATCTTTTTGAAGATGAGCTTTCCGGTGAGGATAGTGATGAACATGCAGTAGCGCGGGGATCTCAGAACAATTCCTCTAGTCATGAAAAACAGCGTGCTCGCATTGCTGATGAGATTCGCCGCTTGGAGGCTGCCAACGTTGCCAAGAAGGATTGGATGCTAGCTGGTGAAGCCAGGGCTGTCGAAAGGCCTGTGAACTCACTTATTGAGGAAGACCTGGATTTCGAAAGGATCGGAAAGCCCGTGCCAGTCGTTACGGCAGAGTTGTCAGAGGATATCGAAGAGCTTGTCAAGCGTCGCATCCTTGCCAAACAATTTGACGAAGTAATACGTCGGCGCCCTGGTGTTTCCGACGCACAGCGTGCGCGGGGAGTTCGTCCTGAACTGGAAGACACCAAACCCCAGCAAAGCCTTGCTGAATTATATGAGGCTGACCATCTTCGTGCTACCGATCCAAATTTCGTTGACCCTAAAAATCAGAAGTTGATCCGTGAGCATGCCACTGTAACAAGCTTATGGAAAGAGATCAGCTCTCAACTAGACACGCTCTCGAACTGGCATTACAAGCCCAAGGCTCCGCAGGCAAGCATCAATGTTGTCACTGATGTGGCAACAATCACTATGGAGGATGCCCAGCCGACAGCTAGCAACGCTGTAACTGGGACAGCAACCCTTGCGCCGCAGGAGATCTACGCACCTGGCGACGATAACAAGGTCGCTGGTGAAATGATTATGAAGAATGGAACGGCAATCGCCAAAGAGGAGATGACCAGGGAACAAAAGGCTAGGTTGCGTCGAGAGCACAAAAAGCAAAACGCCAGCACCGCAAAATCCCAGAAGACAGGTAAAGCGGCTGAAAATCAGCAGCTCATGTCGGACTTGAAGAAGGGTGGAGTCAAATTGATTGGGAAGCAGGGCGAAGTGACAAATATTAATGGCGGTAAAATCAAAGAAGCTGTGAAGGAAGGTGGCCATGTGCTCAAGCTTTAGATTTCAGTACGGTTACAGATTGGATCTATGTACCAAAGATAAGCGTATTTCGATATATTCACACAAAACGTTCCCTAGTAGTTTTAGTTTTAATTTGTAGCTAGACCTTCCTAGACAGCCCTCTTGTCCGACTTCAACCGTATCTGGTAGAGGAAAATGTTCTCGCGCCGGTATGTCTCCGCATCAGGGTCATCCCGGATTTCTTCCACATCAAACATCTTCCTTGCATGTTTCATGAAACGGAGGTCTGCTCTTCTACGCCTCTTAAAGCAGAAGTAACAGATAGAGTCTGGACCAAGAAGATCATTCAAGGTCGAGATTAGTAGCGGGAAGGCGGGCTCAAAGTAAACACAGTCAGCGGCGAGGATAATTGCGGGATGCTTTGGGATGCTGTCTGGGAGGGAGTCTCCCCAGTTTAGTACTGTAGCTTCGACTGTAGAAGAAAGATTGTTGAGCTTGATATTCGTCTTCATCAGGGGCAACATGGGAGCTTGATCCGTAATGTAAATTCGTGGCACCTCAGGGTGACATCTGCGTGCAAGCGCAAGGCCAACAAGACCGCCGCCGGCTCCAAGTTCAACTCTAACCAACAATTAGCAGGGGTCAATTACCCGCATACCAGGCACAAGTCGGACAGGTTGCAGGTGAGGACAAAACTGGGTCATAGGGCAACGGACATTGTTTTACCGAGAAAGCTAGATTGATGTTGGCGTAGCAAGTACTTCGACAGGACCATCCCCGCTGGCCATAGCTGGCCTCCACACCCTTCCTTTAGATCTTCCTGGAGAAGTAGAGGGTTCGATAACATCCCATCAAAGGAGATGGTGCTCTGACTGGCGGGCTTAAAATCCCTAACCGGGATCAACGATTCATCGATGTCTAATGAATCATTCATGTCGATTGCAGCTGGCATTGAACCGGGAACTTCCATATAATATGATGATGTTCTGTTACAGCACACAGCGTTAACCAACACTTGATGCCGAAGTATAAAATGAAGCAACTTTGGACGTTTGATGAGTAACTCAGATGGAAGCACACTTAGTTATAATGAACTTGTTCTTTTCTTTGGGTCGATCTGGGAGGCACGGAATCGTTAGTTCTAGTCTCCCTCAATTTTTTTTTTCCCCGCCCTACTTTGCCCCATCGGTTTTCTACCTAATGTTTGGAATCACCCATCTAAGTACGAGTTGTCACACTTTTACAATGTACCAAGGGAATTGACCACCATTAGTGAGGTTGAATAATAAGTCTGCCTTTAGTGAAGAATAGTTGCCAAGGAACCTATATAGCTGGTATCAATGGGGAAAAAAAGGGCAACAATAAATTATGAGTAGAACCGAAAGGGGAGAAGGGAGAAAAAGAGGAAGACGTGGGAAATAATTGACAGAGCCGTGGGCAGCAGGCGTGTTTAGCAACACCAGAAACATGATAACTAAATTAGTCACAGTATTGTTCTTGTCTGATAGTAAGCGTACTTGGGAAAAAATTATACAATGTATAATAGAATGAAGGCGCACCCTAGAACTCATGGTCAACAATACGCAGATATGGATGTAGAATGTGCCATAACGATTCTATTGCCAGAGAGAAGCTGTACCTCAAATTCAAATTATATACTAGAGTACCAGAAATGACACCTTCATTAGGTCCTAGTTGTTCATTCTGCAATTAGTACAAAGTGCTAAGCAGCCAGTACTATGGATGCTACGAGTCAAACGAAGGGACCATGAGCCAAGCGAACAAGCTATCCAACATGAGCGTATTTTCCTTGATGAAAGTACAAAAATGGTGCAAACATTAGATTAGACTACATCACAGAATGGCTGTACGTTGTAGATATCGCCAGGATGTCTGTGACTGTGGATACTGCCACGACGTAACTCTTTTAAGGTGCAAGTAGTAAAGATCTACTGCTGGGTACTGAACGATCCAGGCACTAGTATGATTGCGGCAACCCTCCGCCAAGTACGTAATAATCCTGCACCCACTGAAATATTGTATGATGTCATGATAGAGCACTACCGTACAAAGTATGCTCAAGGTCGTCCTCCATCTTGCTGTGCTTCTCGTGTCTTTCGATCATAACGACGTCACTCCGTACCTCACCACGGATCGACTATGGACTTGTCCGGTGACGGTACTTAGGGGTTGAAAAGGCCAGCCTAGCCCAGCTCCATGCCATAAAACGAGGCTTACTTGCTCGAAAGAATCTACTTCCTACACTTCAATTCTCTCAACTTCGAAGCACCTTACTTGAATTATATCTTATCTCTACTACACCGAAGCCCCCAACTACCTATCTCCAAAATGACAACCTTGAACTGTGAGTGCTCGTCTGTCCTCGCAGTGCAAGCGACGACCCCTCCCCCTTAACTCCAACTCATGAATTAACATAATTGGCCTAGATCTCCCTTCAGTCAAGCCCTCCGCAATTGCGGCAGGTGCTCTTTTCACCCACACTGCTTCCCTCGGCATTCTCGCGCCCGTATTCGGCGATACCTATCATCGTGCCCAAGCAGCCAATTCCAAGGAAGAGTTCCTCAAATCTAAAGAGGCTGCCGGTGCAGTAGCAGCCTGGGGTACCTCCTTGGTTGGAAGCTCAGTCCAAACATACGGAGTAGCAGCTCTGATCAACGCCACGGGTACTTTGAGCTACAAGGGAGCGGCTTATCTTGGGAGCTTGATCTTCATGGCCAGCGCAGCCCCCGGTGTATGTTCTCCCCATCTTTTCCTTTTCCCACTGCCAACTCGCATTTCAGATATGCTAATCATGTGTTGCCTTTGTATAGGTTGTGAGCCAGGTCTTTGCCGAAAAGAGACCCCTTGACACTGTTGCCGTAGGTGCAGTCAGCAGGTTGTTTGAAACAGTGGGACTCAGCCTCTTCCTTACTTGGTGGGGTACCCGCACGAATCCATTTTCTAGCAGCTATTAAAGGTTCTATTGTTGCAATGTAATATTTGATAATGTCGTTTTTTTAAGTATCAGTTGATCATATATTCGGCAAATAGTCATTTTTATAGTCCACTAAAGTTAAAAGACTTGAGTATAGAGCGTGCGCCATGCAACTAAAACCCACAACCCCAAAAAAGCTTACACTGGCTCCTTTCAAGTTCTTGCTGTGTTTAGGTGTAGAGTGGATTTGCTAGACGCAATGCCTGCGATCCTGGGTGTGGAACTTGACTCTGTCACAGATATGCAACTTAAGGAGCCAAATGTGCTCTACACAGTGTACACAGTTCATTCGATTCTTGACCCATTGGCAGCAGAATGTAATTTGTAGGCTTGCGCCATTACCTGAGGAACGCGTTAGTCGTTTCCTTTGCTTGTCCCAATAAGTTTTGATGGGGTACAAAATCGACTATAGTTACTGTCAATTACATCTACAAGTACACCAAGTAATATCTACAACACCAGTAAATATTGAACACACAAAAGCACGAGGACAGACCGTCTAGTAATGGGAGGATGTAATAAAGGGAAAGTAAGTACAATTGCATTTATCTCAATATTGTACCCAATAGCTGCGTAGACAAGCTAAACGAAAGTGCGGCAGGGGTAGCTTATCAAAGGTGTTAGCTTGGTCTAGAGATAACGGGGATAAGTAGCACATACACACTGGGGTAGCCATGGTCATGGCCGAGCTGATATTTGCTACCAGCAGGGTTCAAGTTGCATGGCAGCGGAGGCAAACCATTAGCGCCCAGAACTTCCTTGATTCCATTCTTGTCCTTCTCAAACAGACCAGCAAGGCCGCGCTCTTCGGCCTGTTGCTTCACGGACACCAATTGTTTCTCTCCTGCCTCGCCGATCTGAAGGACATCATCCTTGGGGGCAGCTTGACTGCCTACACTGAGCAGGCCCACAGCATCCGCCTGACTGACCGCACTGAGCCGGGGGTAACTCCTCCGAACATCACGTTTCCAATAAGGGTTGTCAGCCAAGTCACCGGCCGGAACAGTAACCGGATCATCGTAGGATAGAGGAGGAAGAGCTCCAGGGGTCGGTAGACGATACTGAGCGTTCAACGGAACACCCGTGGAGCGAGTCGGGTCGACGGCAAGGAGGCGGCGAATGCGTTCCCATATCCCAGTGGACTGAACAGTGTATTTCTGATAAAGAATAAGTAAAATATTCTGTCCTGATGTAACACAGAGCAGCCAATGGCTATCTCCTACCTTATGAACGGCTATCACATTGGATGCGGACTTAGCCGCTTTCACGATGTCGCGAGCCATGATTTCTTTTCTGTCCAAGTAACGTATTAATGATTTAGGCGCAATTATGATAAGGGATTTTGCTATAGTGGGTGTTACTTTACCTGAGTACTATATCGGGAAGGAAATGGAAGACCTTCAAGGGTACGTCCTTCGCCGCACGGTCTCAAACGGAACCAGGCCTGCGGAATCGAGCCTCTACACACGGAACAACCTATTCTCCGACAGTCGCACACCCCCGATTGCCCAAGGTAACATTTGTGGTAGGTAGCAGTGGAAATGAAAGAGCCCTGTTATTTTCATGGAGAAAAAAAAACAACATTACTGTATACTAAATTGTCGGAGGGAATGCATTTACAGGCCACATATTATAAGAGGCTAAATTGCCTTGCTCAGGCGTGAGAAGCGGGCTACTATGGCCGATTACAGCTCGGGTTGGGGGATATTCTGGGGCATCAATCGCGAGGATGATTTGGAATTGCATATAGTGCTTATGCCAGACAAGGCATGTACCAACTGGAAACCTCAAGGCCTCTCAATATGTCTGTAACAAATGAATCAATCAGCTACCACGTTCAATGGGAGCAACCCCATTGTAGTGATATGCTGGTTACCCACTATCAATGACTAGTCATCCTTAGCTGGTGGACTCGCGTGGCGGGTTTCGTCTCCGGAGCTCGGTTTCTTCAATTCTGCAGCTAGATTACGTGCAGCATCAAGCGTTGCATCGGGGCCCCCGGGCTGTAGTATCAAAACTTTGCCCTCTTTATCAACAGCAAAGATTCCTCGAATTGTGCCTTTTGGCGACTTTTTAAGTCCAAGAGCTGCTATCAATGTAGCGGTGGGATTGCAGAGAAGAGGGTATGGCAACCTTTGTTTAGTCTTGAACGTAGTATTTGCCTTTGGTGAGTCCGCTGAAAGGCCGTAAATGGATAAACCACTTTCCGTGATAGAGTCATAGTTGTCACGGAACAAACAGGCTTGTTTGGTACCTTTTGATATATTAGCTTCTCTAGGATTGCTGCAGCGGATGATTGTATCAAAGGCCATAATCGCGAACGGGTGTATTCGATGACCACCATGCGTGTTTGTACCCGCACCAGATTATCCTCATGGCAGAGTGCAGGGGAAATTGGGGAGGTGGGAGTAGAGGGTTTTACGTACAGCCTGGGGTTGAAGCTCTAGGGTACGTGAACAGCACGACACCAGCTTCACTAGCATCGACGAGATCTTTCAGCGTGGTTTTTTGCCCTTCGTCAGTCTCAATATCACCACCGAAGTTGTCCAAGTCTAGTTTGTCGCCAACTTTTGGAGCCTTATCGTCGGAGATGGCCTTGGGGACATCCGGCTTTCGAGATACCGTGGATTCCTGAACTTTTTTGGCCTTGCGCTCTGCCGCAGGGGCTTGTGCTGGCGCCTTGCGCTTTCGTAGTTCGACCATATCTTGTGATTGAGAATCCAAGCGTTTGATGTTTTGTGTCAACGAAAACAAAACACAAAGAGTGGGGGAAGTAAAGAAAGTCTTTTGAAGATGCTTATCAACAGCTAAATAGTGGATCAGTTCATAGATAGTGGAGTGTAGGCCAAGACTAACAGGTGAAAACGACTATCACCCGAGAGAGCCACTGTAGTACGCATGGGAGATGTGTAATAATTGGCAGGGATTCTTGTACAGGGGTATGTAAAGAACTAGAAAGTGCGTGCTTTGCATATGTAACTGACTAATTAACGTATCTATCAACCATGAATTTCCCATCTCCCCGTCAATATGGGGTTCCCCCGAGTACACCAAAAGCACGTATGTGCCTTCTAAATGTCGACCACCACCTTTGATACTGTTTGACGAATGCTCGATATCAAAAGGCAAAGCTGGCTCTTATTGGATAATTCAAAGACATTTGATGATGCAGGAAACAAAGGGCCAGAGCATCATTCACACTGTCATATCTTGACCTCAATTATTTCAACTATCCTATAGTAAGAGTAATTGATCGGTAGCATAAGATGTTGTGATCTGGGGGATTGTTCGGATATACAAAGTAGTAGTCGGCATGAACCAACCTCGACCCTCTAACATAGTAGCGCCTGATGTCAGATGCACATAATAAGTAACTAACTACTAGTGGGTTCTCTGCGGAGTTGAAGGCGGTCTTTTGACCTTGACCGGGAGTCAGATTACTGTACCGGTAAATCCCGACCCTTGGCGCCACTGTTCTTGTCCAGGAGAAGAACGCGGAATCCGGGGCTAAAATTCTCAAATTTTCTACCAATCCTACCGCTATATTGCACAAGATTGGCGATCGCCACTCTCACTCACTGCGTCCGCCTTCACGACCACTCATGTGGAGTTCTCATTACTCATCTTGTAGTAGTTGATTATTTGCCGCATCCTGAACTCCTCGTAGTTATCGAATCCATAAGAACCTATCTCCGAAGCACCTATCGCCACAGACTTGGGTCTCGCTCCCGGTCTGGCTCGCTCTCTTTTTCTCCTTGGACGTGCATCTTTCTTGTTCTCGAAAGTGTTTCATAAGCATACGGCCACTCTTTGTCTATCACGATCCCAAGGGACGTTTCAGATTGCAGTCTATCGACATGAGAGTCTTTTCTTCGACGTGCACTTTCGATTATTCTTGGGAAGAAGTTTCGGCGGCAAACTGGCGCAAATATTGTCCCTGGAATGACAAGTCTACACATGTCGTGGCAGTAGACACCCTATCTCGGGCAGTCGATGCTGATACTGGAATTGTACGTATCATCGACCATCTTACTCTCATTCTTACCGTGCAACATTTGGCTGATTGTCTTGTTGGATAGCTGCGGACAGAGCGTCTGATTACATGTAATCAATCAGTGCCGCAATGGGTTCTTTCACTCTTTGGAGGCAGTGCTACGTCGCATGTTTACGAAGTGTCCTACGTCGATCCTGTCTCGAAGAAGGTCACGATGTGTTCGACCAACCTTACATGGTCTAACGTCTTGAACGTCAAGGAGACCGTTATCTATCAGCCGTCGCCGTCAAACCCTTCCTCAACTACCGATTTCAACCAAGAGGCGAAGATTACTGCGTTGTGCGGTGGATGGCAGAAAATAAAAAACAAGGTAGAAGAAGCTAGCGTGGAGAGATTCAGTCAGAACGCGAAGAAGGGCCGAGAAGGGTTTGAGGCTGTTCTTGAGATGAGTCGCCGAGTTTTCAGTGAACAACGTGAACTCGAGAGCACTAAGCTTCAATCCTAACCACAGTTGGGGCTTGTGGTCTTGGTCTATCTTTTCCGTCATACGTTTTTGAGCGTTTGCATTAACTGGCGTCTCTCTTTCCCGTCTTTTCGCCTTCATCCATATGTCTTAATCGAAGCGTTTGTTTTTCTATTCCCGATGGATCTTCCCTCTGCAGTTGGTCCGGACCGCATCTGCTTGTGATTGTCTTTCAAATGCCTTGCCTCAGCGCCTTTTGTTTCTGCTATCACGCGCCACTCATGAGACATGTACAACCAAAAGTTATAGACTCTTCTTTCGCTTTCATCACCTGTCTCTTGTTCCGACATCGTATTCATATACCATGATTACTATATATGCACCAGAATAGAGGAATGGGCATGTTGAATTAATTCGCTTTTTCGTTAACGCATTTGAGTAATGGCGTTGCCATTTAAACACCAGTGTGGTTTGCTCTCGATAATTCCAGAGCAAAATTTTTATGAAGGGGCTTCCCTGATCCCCTTTGTTGCTGCAATATGTAAATGGAACAATTCTCTTCCTAAATACTGTCTTTCAACCGGAACGCTCACTACGGCAGTACAGAGTCTAATTATTAGAATATCTAGTCAAGTCGCAGAACCATTCTAACACATGTAGTGGTCACACAAAATGGATGTTATATTATCTGACAGTTTGTAGCAGAAGGTACATTTGAAGTATATGCAAAGCATAGAAAGTATAGGTACCATTAAAGGTACGTTAGGCGGAGACTGATAATGTATCGCCCCGTTCCGAATCCTACGATGTCATCCCGCCTCCTTCTCCGCATGCCACATTGCCCCTCTTCAGCCCGCCTAGTCGGGTTAGGTAGGTGGACTCCCTAAGTCGTTTCACGGTCTCAACCCGTCGACAGCTTACCCGAACGCTTCAATACAAGCATAAGGTAATAGGGTACCCATCAAAACTCTGGCAATTGCTTCTTGTTTATGTTCCCTCCATACGAAGTTGCTCTACAACAATGAGCGCCACTCCTGAAGACATGATCCCCGCGCCAGGAGAGTGGCCCGTGGACCCCCAAGATGATGTACCCATTTCGGACAATCGCATTTGGGTAGACGGATGCTTTGACTTTAGCCATCATGGTATGACACCTTTTGCTCGTACCTTACACAGCACCTTCACAAGGCTGAGTTTTGTATAGGCCATGCGGGCGCTATGCTCCAGGCTCGCCAATTGGGAGACGAGCTTTATGTCGGTGTTCACTCTGACGAAGCAATCCTCGAGAATAAGGGGCCGACAGTTATGACACTGGATGAACGGTTAGTTTGCCTATATAAAGCAGCCCATTGGCCTTCTGACCCAAGTCTAGAGTAGCTGCAGTGGAAGCATGTCGCTGGGTGACTCGCTGCGTTCCCTCTGCTCCTTACGTGACATTTTTACCTTGGGTTTCGCACTACGGCTGCAAATATGTCGTCCATGGCGATGATATCACTTCCGACAGCAATGGGGAGGACTGCTACCGGTTTGTTAAAGCTGCAGGGCGCTTTCGTGTGGTCAAGAGAACGCCGGGAATATCCACGACAGACCTTGTTGGGCGAATGCTTTTGTGTACGAAAAACCATTTCGTCAAAAGCGTAAAAGATACCCTCAACGGGGAAGAAGGATCTGGAAGTCTGGAAGAGCGCAAGCATTCGGCCAATAGTCTTATGCAAAGGATTCGTGATTATGCCACTGACGAGACTGGTCTACAGCCTGGCCCGCAGGTTTGGATCTGGAACGGATCGAGTTCTGCGAAACTTGGGAACACAGTCGAGGAACCTGGAGCATTCGAGACAATTGTTAACGGAAAGTCGCCAAGGCCTGGACAGCGAATTATCTATGTCGATGGGGGATTTGACTTGTTCTCATCCGGGCACATCGAATTCCTTCGACAGGTCTTAACGCAGGAGGAATTGGAAGGCCACCGGCGTGGTTGGTATGACGAAGAGCAAAAAGTCAAGAGAGTCAAAGAATACGGAGAGGACTATGGCCCTGCCTATGTTGTTGCTGGCATACATGACGACGATGTCATAAACCACTGGAAAGGCCTCAACTACCCCATCATGAACATCTTTGAACGCGGGCTATGCGTTCTGCAGTGTCGCGTATGTAATTCGAAGTGTCTGGAATCTTTGAGTGAAGTATCAACCTGCTAACCAGAGTTTAGTATATACATGCTGTGATCTTTTCCTCGCCATTCTCCCCAAGTCAATCATACCTGGAGGCCATGCCACTAGGCGTTCCAGATGCAGTTTACCACGGTCCTACTACGTTCATACCCCTCACCTATGATCCTTATGTGGCACCCAAGCGGATGGGCATTTTCAAAGAGACATCTAGCCATACGTACCAGCATGTGAATGCCGGTGAGATCGTTGACAGGATATTGAAAAGTAGGGAAGCCTATGAAGAAAGGCAGCGCGCCAAACTCGAAAAGGGTGTTGTTGAGGAGTTGGCCAAGTCCAAAGAGTCAGCATCTGCCTAGATAGCAATGGTGTATAACAAAGCCGGGCAAAAGCGCCTCCATAGAACATGAAATGATATATAATATAGAAGACGGAGAATAAGGGAGGGACGCTCGGAGATAGCGAAGACCAAACCACTCTTATGCATTCCAAAAAGCCAAGCACATTAAGATTAACAGTATGAAGTTTGGACAATGCGTACGTCATGACAGAAGCATCTCTATCTCCCCATCCTCGATCGCACCAAAACGAAATGCAGACATTTGAGTCACAAGCACGAATACAACTACTGCTGACATAGTTCTTTCCTTCGAACAAAAAACGGTATGATAATTTGTAAATGTACAGTATGTGTTTCGAGGCAGCTGCGCTGTATCAACATTCCTAAAATTAGTCGGCCGCCACAAGGACCCCCTTCTCTTCGAGCAATTTAGCAAGTTCTCCATTCTGATGCATAGACATCAGAATATCGCAGCCACCGATGAACTCCTTCTCCAGATACAATTGCGGGATTGTGGGCCAGTCGGAATACTCCTTGATACCTGGGAGACCTAGTATTAGTTGTATTGAAATAAAGATTTGAGGACAAGAGTCCATCTGTAAAGCATACCCTGACGAAGTTCTGAATCTTCCAACACATTGAATGCAACAAACTTCTTCGGATCCACTCCCTGCAGTCCCAAAATTTGTATACTGGCTCGAGAGAAACCGCACTGCGGCGTCTCTGGCGTGCCCTTCATGAAAAGAACGACGGGTGCAGATGCGACAGCTTTGTCAATAGCTGACCGTGTCTCCGAAGACAGATACCGGGCATAGAGGGTAGAGGGCAGCTGAATGCCAGCGAATCTAGGTTGCAACACTTGAGGCTGTCGGAAAAGTGGCCGAAACGCCTAATAAAAATTTATCGTAAACTTAGCTATCTCCATGAGAACGAAGGAGCAGTATGCATAATAGCTGGGAGATCAGCAAAGTAGGGGTGCGCAATACGTACCGACGAGGCCAAAGTCCTAGATAACATGATGAATTATTAGTTTGTGAGAATATGGAAACGTGAAATAATTGCCGCTGAAGTCAAGCTCTGCTTGTCTATATGCACCGTAGTCCGAGGATTTAGTTAGCACATGCGGAGAACTTGGCTACACATGCTCACTAAGCAACCACTGTAGTTGTTGACATTAATAAGGAACAGTTCCCACTCCCAGTCATGTGATCCAGACTTCTTTTTGCTTGATAATTCTCCCAGTGAGCAGGTAGCTATGCATTTGGCAAGAGTGTACGACTAGTAAACCTCGTCTACAGAAGCAAATTATATTAAATAATAGCTGCTACTCGAATTACCAGGAGCGGTAAAACAGGACATCTAATCAAGGTAGCTGACGGCTCCCCATTAATCTTGGAGCAAGATATCGACTTCAAATTGAAAGTGGACAGTCAAAGGGAGAATTGTCCCATGATCGGTATTGAGAGTGTTGTGTAAATTATCTTCACGTGGCAGACTGTGAAGGTCTTGAATCCTACCGGAAAGTGTTAGCAGAGTAATCGATAAACAGGTTACTCCTCCAAAACACCCCGCGTGTGCTCTCGCAAACACCCCGCAACTCCAAATTATTTCACCCCGCATATCGAGATTTGCAGTCATCATATCATTTGCCCAATCCGGCCATTATCTGCCCAAGAGCCCCATGGACTCCTCACCAGCTCCGTTCAAAGCCCAACACCACATGGGTGACAATAAAATCCATGTACTCCTTGCAGCCAGTGGTTCGGTTGCAACGATTAAACTTCCCAATATCGCGGAAGCCCTTGGCCGCCATTCGAATATTTCTATCCGCATAATCGTTACAAAATCAGCGGCAGAATTTCTAAAGGGACAGAGTCACGAGCAACCATTGCTCGAAAAACTCCTCGAACTACCTGGCGTGGATGCTATTTACCGAGACGAGGATGAGTGGAGGCACTCTTGGACTCGTGGCGAGTCAATCCTACATATAGAGCTCAGAAAATGGGCACATATCCTACTCATCGCGCCTTTATCCGCCAACACCATGGCCAAAATGACCATGGGAATTTCAGATAACCTTCTTCTCTCTGTTTTGCGAGCATGGGACACGACGGGAACGGTGGACGCCAATTTCAAGGAAAAGAAGCCCATTGTGTTTGTCGCCCCCGCCATGAATACAGCAATGTGGTTTCATCCGATCACTGCCAAGCAACTGGCTATACTGAATGATGAATGGGGCGTAAACTCTCGCAACGAGGGCTGGGTATCTGTACTTAACCCGGTAGACAAATCTCTTGCTTGCGGCGATACAGGAACCGGGGGTATGATGGAATGGAAGACCATAGTCGATAAGGTGGAGCAGTATTTAGGTATTGGCAAGGACGATAAATAAAGAGGTTAGCTAGAGCTTCAGGACCTGAAAAGAAGAACGTAGGGTGTTTGTTTTTTTTTTTTTTTTTTTTTTTTTTTTTTTTTTTTTTTTTTTTTTATCAGCTCTCCAGGGAAACCGGCTCTTCGTCCGGATCATAAAACCCAGTGGTTTTCGCGACATAGTCAAGGAACATTCCCAGGGTAATGCCTCCACCGGTGAGCAAGCAACCATTCTTAAACCACCACCAGCAATTCTGTACGTTTTTTAACTGAACTTTCCAGATCATGAGACCGAGGGTGACAGCTGCACTGCCACAACTGCCGATGAAGAAGATAGGCCCGCTTCCTGCTGCTACACCTGCAGCGGCGAGTAACGGCACCTGGACGGCGGCGAGAGCTGAAAGCACAGCCTTTGTGTTCTTTTCATGACGAAGGGCAATAGACTTAATGCCAGCCGCAACGTCATCTTTAATGTCCATATGCGCATATATCATGTCATACAGAACCGTCCAGGTTACACAACTAGCGTAAAGCGCAGCAGCAGTTTCCAGTGCGGCGGCATTATGGAGGAGATCGATACCCAGCGCAGGGAAGCCCATAATCGCACCCCATGAGAACGTAAGGCCCAACACAGCTTGGGGATAATAAGTAACGCGTTTAGCAAGCGGATACGTGGTCACCAAAAGAAGACTAGGTATACCGTACCAAAGGCATTGATACGGAAATTGAAGAAGAACACCAAGTCCTGCCAGTAACTGGGTACCTGTAAACAGCACCGCTTTACCAGGAGGGATTGCTCCTCTTGCGATTGGGCGGAATTTCGTGCGTTCGACATGCGGATCTAAGTTTCTATCCCATAGATCATTGATTGCACATCCGGCACCGCGCATTATCAAGGCCCCAGCAAAGAAAAGACCGGTAGTTCCAATAACATCCCAGGCTGAGACGGACGGCGCAATGGACGCGGCAAGTAGAGTTGAGTATGCGCAGGGGAAGAAAAGGTAGTATGTACCTGTCGGTTTATCGAGGCGTAGCAGCTCAGCGTACGGTATCCATGACTGAGGCAAATAAGAGATAAGGCCCTTGTTTGGTGGCGTATAGCTTGTCACTGAGGCCTGGCTTGTTGTACTGTGTGCCTGGCTTAGTATCAAGGCCGAGCGACGGGGATGGCGGTTGTGGGTTGTAATGTTCGATTTCTGGCAGATTGACTGAATGCTGTTGGTCGCCGTATAACCATATCTTCTGGACGACGATAAGGAAACTGGACAACGGTGTCCCTGTACAGAGGTGAATCGGTATATGTAAGTGCTCCTTTCCCTAGGATAGCGACATAGTCGTGCATGCCGGCCGGCATACAAGTAACTCATAATGAACCGAATGAGGATGTAGAGATAATGATGCGTAGCAATTGGCCTCCTGTATGACTAGCACTTTCAGAATTATCCTACACGGAGACAACGAATCGATCTGGCACAGCGATTTGGCAGATGAAATCCGCACGCCAACCAGACTAGACGCTATCCGAGTCAATTGACGAGCAGATGAGAGGAATTGAAGCCAAAAGAAGCGTGAGGCGCAGCTACCACTAAGCAATTTCCATGCCAGGAGCAGGAGCTTCCTGAGATTCACTCTTCAGAAAATTGATTGGGAGAAAAAAAGGTTCTTGATGAGCGAAATTTAAGGTACGGATATTGGCGGCCGGAGGTGTTCTTGAGCCTTTTTCGGCGGTGGTTCCATGCGTTCCTGGGCCCGGCGGACGGGACCCACATGCCACAATCGCCGATGCAGCTGCAGCGAGAGTGAATCGAGACAATCAACAACTGCGCAGGGTCTATGGGTGTTGAACACTCTCTTTACTTCCATCATTTGGGAATCGGGGTATAGCTTGCACAGAAAGCAACTGCTGTTTCCGTCTCAAACTCGTGGTGTTGCTCGTCTGTTGCTCGCTATTGTCATGACCGCGCGATATGTGTATGTGGGCATTTGATCAAGTTCGCCCTGCCGGCCACTTCTTTGAAGCGCGTTGATATCGGCTCTACGCATCTGATCACCTTTTCTGGGCGATATTCATGAATCATTCTGGTGTACGTACGCTCCGACATCTTTCATGAATTCCAAAAGAACACAACCTCGGCGCAGTGGTCCATCCGGTAGCTTGAAAGTATGCTCTACTGCGGGGAAAAAGAATTGTTGGCTTTATCTAATATCGCGAAATAGGGTGATTGATACATTTGAAGGCGAAAGTACTGGAGCTATAGCCATTTGTACCGACCTTGTTGAACCCCCTTCAGGATGCCCGCCCAGCGACCCCGAGCGGCTTTTGAGCCACTTTCTCCAGACTTGGACCTCACAGCACTCGTGAACTCGACACCAAACTTCGAGGAAGTTGCCAGGATTCACTGCGATATGATTGATGAGAATGGGCTGGAGATATTCGAGAAGCTTGTGTTGCTCCATGTGGTTCGGGGTGGAAAGCCTTTGGTAGTCGAGGGCTTCAACCACCGGCTCAATAACTCGATCTTCTCGGAGAAATGGCTAAGAACTCACTATTCATCGAAAAGTGAGTGATGTATCCCTCATCTATGCTGTCTTGCTTGTCTAACCCAGAGCTTCTACGACACAGCGGAATGTGCTCGGAATTTGACCACAAAAACTGATTTACCTCTTACTATTGGACATTACCTGAAAAACTTGCCCCTTCTAGCAAATCAGTGGACTTCCTATAACTACAAAGATCCTGACCGCCAGAGGATCTACCTCAAAGACATTGACTGTCCTCATCAATGGCGCGAGCAATTAAAAAAAATAATCCCCCCCGGATTGTTCTACTTGAACCAGTTTCAGGAAAGCTTTGACGGCCCGGGAGCGAAGAGAAGTACATCTTCCAACAAAAATAAAAAGTCTACGGGCTCAAATAACCCGATAGCCAGACCTGGGGATCTTATGAGTTGCCTCCCTCCAAGCATGCGTGCAGAAAACCTGATGTGCTACATCGGCCACGAGGGTACCTATACACCAGCTCATCAGGAAATGTGTGCTAGCTTGGGCCAGAATATCATGGTGGAGGCGTCGGATGGTTCCACTGAATATGGCAAAGAAACGAAGCCGGGGTCGTCTATTTGGTTTATGACCGAGAGCAAAGATCGCCGTGTAGTCTCGGAATATTGGATGTCAACACTAGGACATGATATCGATATTGAGGATCATTTTGCGCAGATAAATGCGTGGAAGGCAGCGCCCTTCAAAACTTATGTTGTCGAGCAACGACCGGGCGACTTCATCCTCGTACCCCCCCTAGCAGCACACCAAGTGTGGAATCGAGGAACACGGACAATGAAAGTCGCTTGGAATCGTACAACTCCGGAAACCCTGGAGAAAGCGCTCACTGAGGCTCTTCCTCACGCCAGGATGGTTTGCCGAGACGAACAGTACAAGAACAAGGCGATAGTGTTCTATTCATTGGAGCATTACTCGGCCATCCTCCGCAAGGCAGATACAGTTGACAGTGGTGATTCAACAGTTAAGCAAATAATCAAAGATTTCGAGCACCTTTTCGGCCTCTTCACTGACATCATCTTGTCCGAGAGCTTTTCGGACCAACTACCCGAAGAGGATGTTGAATATGTTGCCTTTGACAGCAACATTACATGTTCATACTGCCGGGGTAATATTTTCAACAGGTTCCTAACTTGCCCGTCTTGTGTGGGACCAACAAATACAGACGAAGAAGACACTTATGATATTTGCATGGAATGCTATGCGATGGGCAGGAGCTGTGCTTGCATAGCTAAGCTCAAATGGGTTGAGCAGTTCCCTTGGGATGAGCTTCAAGCCAAATACGAGACCTGGAGGCTGCAGATACTCGACATCAACTCTCAATCACGAGACACATTAGTGAGTCTCCCAGCGCAGAGGAGCCGGCTGGAGAAGAGAACACTTGCAGAGGTTTGCCAGTTGGAACTCAGACGGCGGCCGTGGGTCGACATAAGTAAGCCGACTGTTCAGTCAGAACGGCTTGAAGAGCTGGAAAGTGATTCGGAGCGACTTAATTCCGCGCGCAAACGGAGGAAAACTCGTCGAGTTGACACATTTCAGCAGACTGGAAATTGCCATATCTGCAGGTATGCCGAGCCAAGGTGGAAGCTTGCCTCGTGTTCTAGCTGCCGGACGAACTACTGTTATGGCAGCTTGTTTAGGGCTTTCAATATAAAGCCGCAGGAGACGATGGAAGCATTCGAGTGGAAGTGCCCAAAGTGCCGCAAGATTTGTAGTTGTGCTGCATGTCGTCGCGATCCCACGATGACGCCCTTTGAGCCGACATGCACATTATTGGGCCACGACACCCGAAAGATAGCCGACCCTCGAAGCGTGGAGAGCTTAGTGGATTTCCGACAATCCAACCTCAGGTGGTTGAAGAAGGCCGGCGATGATGAGGTCAAACGGCTGAAAAAGCACCAGAAAGAAGCTGACGACAAGCGTAACCAGTCAATGGTCGAGCATAGCATTCAGCTCGAGGAGGTGCCTCCAGTAACAGAGTATGCGCCTGACTATGGTGATATACCGGTAGATCCGGCCCTGGAAAGGCTTGACAGCTCGTTTATAAGTGCACCTGACCACTCTGGCCCGTGACAAGCTTCAGGGCGCTGCAGCAGTGTCCTGTGTCGCTATAGCTCTATGCATGTGGGGCGTTATACTTCTTTTTCTCTTCATCTCATATTTCCGCATATAGCGAGCAGGCTTATCTTGGCATTGTATCAGCGGAAGAATTCAGGATCGAGCTTGATATCTTGCATTAGCCTCATCATTATGATTTGTAGACCCACTAACATGCTCGTTGAAATAGCGAACTCATGAGCATGTAACTGTCGCCCGTGTCCTGTCAAGTGGTTTCCCATAAAGCCGTGCTTGACCAAGGAAGACTTTATTATTGCAGCGTGCCCTATGCTCCTTTGTACTCATAGCGGAGGTTCTCAAGCGCTTTGAGGTCAACTGAGAGCATGACCTTGCGTGCGACTAATACAGCTGCAAACATTGCTATGTCATGTCAGTACTCGTCCGATCTTTTGCAAGACTCAAAACATCTAAGCAAAGCAAGGATGCCGCAGGTCACCTACCTCCTGGAACCAAGTAGGTAACCGGCTGGATCTCCAGCCAGGATTGCGTTGTGGGTTGCGAAGCGTAGACCAGGGCCAGAAGCACGCAGATCGCAGCATTGACAGGCAAGATGTATCGTCGGATGCTAGCCATAGCATGCGGTGTGATCATTGGTCTCTTGCCCTTAGGATCCGGGCGTTCAAGCGGAAGATACTTCATGATATAGGCCGTGACTAGTAGAGATAGGGCACCGAGCAAAGAGAGAAATCGTTCAGATAGGCTCGAGGAGCCCGACAGTATTGAAGCAATGAAAGCGAAGCTGGAAAATAGCGGGATGGCGGCAAAAACGACCTATGTAGATGTGTCGATTGGTCCTCAGCAAATGCTCTCTCACTCTCAGTCCGATGGTTTCATGATAGGAAATATATTTACACTATATTCAGAGTTCCGTTTCTCATTTAGTGCCTTCAGTTGCTCTATCACACGTTCCTGCTCTGTCGGACCGTCAGCAACGTCGTCTAGAATGGCTTCCTGCTTGGCTAATCTGTCAGTACATACCTTCTTCGTCTAGCTCCTCCCGACTGTGCTCGTCATCACCTGAATCATCAGGGTAGCGAAAAGCTCTGCGAAGCCTTGCCGTTGCCATCGCTGCAACAATACGTCTGCTATGAAGGTAGCAGAGAGAATCAAAGATTTGTTGATGACGTCGCTCAGGCCTAAAAGCACACGAGGTCCCTCTAGCTTGGGCGAGGGTTTGTCTCGTTTGCCAAGGGTACGGGCAGTACACCCCGTTTTAGATTACCATTCCCGCCTCAGGTTTCGGGCTTCCGAGCATTTAGCAACCACGCCCTACTACTACTGCCACTTTCCACGATACAATAAACGCACAGAGGTCACGCCGCCACACCGCAACAAGACCCACGGAAAACGTCGAAAGCCAATTGGACTTTTATACCTTTTCCAAAGATGCTCCTACGACTCGCAGAGAGGCGTATCGGCGCTTCTCGACTATGCGTAAATCATCGCAAAATGCTCCCTCCCCGGCGCAACTTGATCCCCGCACCACAAGCGAACTCGGGCCCTCTTATGGAAAGACGGGCGGACAGAGCTCTACCCAATGTTCAAAATGAGAGGCGATGGATACGAACCTTGCCTATCTTTGCTGTTGTCGTGGGGGCCGCTATGCTGGGTATCTTTAACTATCAGAAATCTTCCTCCAGTGTGGTTAACAGTACGCTGTATGCGCTGAGGACTTCCCCGCAGGCGAGGGAGATTCTGGGTGATGAGATCTACTTTGCTCAGAAGATCCCGTGGATTAGTGGAGAGATGAACCAGCTTCATGGTCGCATTGATATCTCGTTCTGGGTTAAGGGTACTAAGGCTCAGGGTAAAATGCGGTTCCGCAGTATTAGACCTGACCGGACTAGCTTTGTTCGTTTGCCTCATCACTTTTTATATTTGACCTGAAAACTCCTGGCTAATGTTCTTTTGTTGTATAGTTCCGCACGGAAGTATGGAGTTTGGAAACCGAGGACGGCACGGTTGTCCAGCTGCTTGACAAGGATACCGACCCATTCAACCAGACCAATTGATTGACTCGATTACTTGGCCCTCTTGTTTTGGGCTGTATACTCGCTTGTTACGTGGTGTTTGGAGATTTGTGCATGTAAATATATCATATCATTCATGTGCATTGGGCTAAGGCGTTCGGGCTTCGGAAAGCGTCTCACTCTCCCTTTCCCTCCATCATCCATCCCATTGGACAGATTTAGGTTGCTCGACTGGAGTGGAAGAGCTATATGAAAGCGCCGATCAGGCGGAAAAGAACCTATAGGAACCAACACTTTGGGAAAGGGATATCATTTATGTATCATATACAGACGCCGCTCTTAAAACAATACAGTGTAGTAGTACATTTCACAAAAGATCACAAGCAGAACAGAAAGCGCGCGTTAAATTTATTCAGAAGCCTCAGCCGTCGCAGGGGAAGCTTCCGGCCACGGCTTCTTGATGGCATCCTGTATCCGGACAACGCAGCCCTTGGGACCACTGACAGAACCTATATAGAAACCCGAAGTTAGCATCAACCGTGTCCATCTATAAGAAATCCACTTGAGAACAAGAGAGTAATCCGGGGTATCCTACCATTGACCACGACGATTCCATTCTCAGCATCCACCTTCAGGATCCTCAGATTCTGAACAGTGTTCTGCTCATTACCCATGTTACCCGCCATCTTCTTTCCAGGGTAAACACGAGAACCACCACCTTGACTAGGACCAGCGGAACCAAGCGAACGATGCGTCAAAGAAACACCGTGACTGCGATCCTGACCACCGAAACCATGTCTCTTCATAACACCCGCGAAGCCCTTACCCTTCGTATTAGACCTCGCATCAACGAACTGTCCCTCCTGGAACCAGTCCGCACTGACAGCCTGACCAACAGGCAAAAGCCCGCTCTCATCCTTAACCCGGAACTCATAGACATGGCGCTTAGGCGAGATGCCATTGGCAGTGAAATGGCCGAGCAGGGACTTAGTCAAGTTACTAGGACGCCTCCACCCAGCACCCAGCTGAACAGCATAGTATCCATGCTTCTCACGAGTCTTGTGCGATACGACCTCGACTCGATCGAGCTGCAGCACGGTGCAGGGAACACGTTTGCCGGTCTCCGGGTCATACAGGGCGGTCATGCCCTTCTTGAAGGTGATGGCACCGGTCCGCAGGGGGAGGGTGTTTGCCTTGCGCTCCAGGGCGGCGGTGGGTGTCGATTTCAGCACGGGCAAGTCATGGCCGACGTTGAAGCGCGAAGTCTCGGGGGGGTTCAAGGACCGGATACCGAAGGTGCGGACTGAGGTGATGGAGAATTGGCTGCCGCGGAGGGAAGAAGAAGTAGTCGGGATTTGAGACGCCCAGATTGTCGTCAGGGGAAGCTGGGAAAGCTTCCCGGGCATACGGGGAGGCATGGCGATTGGAGGTGATTGGGGGGGAGGGAGGTATAACTCTCTCACTCTCACTTCTTTTCTGCCGCTGAGATTTTTGGCAAGACGTGCGGAGACCCCGTCGAGGATGGGCCGGAGAGCCTCGAAGGCGGTGTGGTGTGTAGGTGCGCGAGAGCGCGGATTCTGGTTTGATGCCTGGGTATGATCCTCAGGCATTAATACATGCGGGTAAACATGGGTTTAGTTTACTTAGTACTGTATGAATGCTTATTTACCAGCGCGCAAGTAGATACGCAGAATTCTACACTAGATCGCTAACAGTGCTGCTTATATGGAGCCTTCATATTCCTGGACCGAGCCAATGCCGAAGATATGGCGACACTAGCACCACAAACTTCGAGCATGCGATTTTCGTGCAGTCGATTCCATGCTCCGATGCCAGTTGCCAATCGGGAACCGGACTCGCCGGCACGCCGATGGCGGCGCCGAAGTGTATAAAAAAAAGACGGGAGGGAAGCTGATCCTACGATCTGCTGCCGCAACGTCATCCCAAATCTCACTTGCATTCAGGCCTGCATTGCCGTCTCGGCTTCTTTTGCTTTCCAGACCGTCGCTATCCGCGAGTATATAAGAAGAGGAACTTCTTGGTGATTTTTCCCGGTCATCTTCCACCCCACGATTTGTCCGTTCTTTTCCGAAGACCCCTACCGGAGAAAGACTCACATCACATCCTCTTACAACAAAACTACGCCCCCCCTCTCAATTCGCTCGCATTCGGACAACCATCCATTCCTAAAAGCCCGAACAAAATGAGTTTACGACAGTCTCACCTATCGCGCCTGTTCTCTCAAGCGTCGAGAATCCTCCAAAATGCGCCACCCGCGTCCACAACAACATCCTCCCTATCCTCCTCCCCACTCCTAAGCCGGGCCTTCGGAATGCCCAGCAGACGCGCATTGAGCTTCCAGACCCGCGGGCCTTCCCAAATAAAATTCAGGAGCGGCCAGATGCAACAACCAGGGAACATCTTCCGGCGGTCGTTTTTCCGGTCTGCTCGGTCGAACAGCTCGGCGCAATCGGAGCAGCAAGCGCCCTCTCTTTCGCAGCGTCTTCGCACGCTGTCGAAGGAGTACGGATGGTCCGCGCTGTGGGTGTATCTGATTCTGTCGGCGGTGGATTTCCCGCTGTGCTTTATGGCTGTTCGGTTGGCTGGAGTGGAGCGGATTGGCCACTATGAGCATGTTATTTCGGAGTCGGTGAAGGGGGCTGTTCGGAAGGTGTGGCCCCCTTCGGAGGAGGAGGAGAAGGCTGCTGCTGCGTTGCAGAGGCAGGCAGAGCAGGAGGAGAAGGAGGCGGGCGAGGAGAAGGCTAATGGTGGTGAAGCTAGTAAGTGGCTTATGTTTTTTACCCCTTTGCTTTGGTTGCATCCGTAAGTATAAGAGATATACGTTGGCTAATCACTTTTCTTTATCGTTGGACAGGTCTTTGGACGCAGCTTGCCCTCGCTTATGCAGTTCACAAGAGTCTTATCTTCATTCGGGTTCCCCTGACGGCTGCGATCACTCCCAACGTTGTCAAGGTTCTGAGGGGCTGGGGCTGGGATATCGTCAAGGGTAGGCCGAAGGGCATGTAAGTGCCATTGGAGATGTGTTTGAATATGATGGTTGGGACGATTAATGCCGGAAATGGCTCTGCAAAGGGTCTTCAAAACAAGATATTATATTTATAGAGAGATGTACACTAGCTGTTACATATAATTTTGCAGGACAAGCGCGCGGTGTCCTTCTCCACTCAGAGATATTGAACCGGGTATTTCCGTCAATCATGATCGTCTAAGAACGACAGGGTACAAATGTTCGAGGAAAGATGAGACGGGACATTAAAGGATAGAGGACATCAGTCTAGAGTACCCAAAAACCACAGCATGTAGCAATATTGAGCCAAGCTTTATGAAAAAGTAATGGCACAAGTTCATCCAGGCATGCAGTGCAAGAAGTAACAAATGAACCGAGCCCCACATAAAGAAAAGACCTCACAGTGAAACAAGCATGTATGATTGACATGATTACAATGGTTCGGGATCCGTTGACGCCCGAGATACATATCGACGAAAAGGTCGTGAGAAAAACGTGGGATGTATGCGAAAGAGAAGACTCGAGATGGCGTATCACATGTCAATCATATCGTTGAATTTCAGGATGCCATTGGCTTTCATGACACCATTCACACCGTCTGGCATTCTGTATGCCCATTCAGCAACGCCCAATGGGCTTGCGACTTGCATGGCGTCTAGTTGGTCGGGTTGCTCAGAGTCATCGGATGTGTCCGCAACTAGCACGAGGCCAAGCTCCTTGATCGTCTCTACAAGCGCCGGTACAACATTCTATGGCATCAATTTGTTAGTTTCCGATCTTTAAGGCACAATGTTGTAGAATCTCAGTGTAGGAAGGAGACGAAACACGACATACCAATAAACTAGAACGGCATATCAAACCCATGAGATTGTTGCTTTGCGCTATCCGCGCCGATTCCTTAATGGACATAGAAGCTCGACCACTACTATCGACGTCTGGCAAAGACTTAACGTCACGGGCTAAGTCACGAATTTGGCCAAGATCATTGCAAAGCAGGACGGGATCTGAGATAGAAAGTGAACAGTTAGTGTATTGCTTCCAAGCGATACCTGGAAGGGCATGTATAACTCACAGTTCGGTTGCTTCCAGTTCAAAGCAATGCATATATTGGGGTTGTAGGAGGTAAAGACCACAGACCGCATGTAATCGGGGTTCTGATCACGCGAAATACGAGCGTGGTCAAACACTTCGGTAAGAATAGC